ATACAGAGATACGGTCACGCAGGTAGGTGGGTCCCAAACCGTTTAGGGCTTTGTAGGTAAGAACCTGCACCTTGAATTGGGTCCGGTAGATGAAAGGCAGCCAGTGGAGCTCCTTAAACAGGAGGGATGACCTCTCTCTGTAAGGAGCCCCGGTAAACAACCTGGCTGCCGCTCGTTGGATCATCTGAAATTTCCGGGCCGTTTTCAAGGGCAGCCCTACGTAAAGTGCACTGATGTCTACCCTTTGCTCTTATCTTTGTGTGCAATTGCATTTTGGTTTCAAGTCTTCTGTATAAACTACCTTGAGTGTGGTTTATACTAAAGGACCATCAAAACAGCCCAAAAGACACAAACACATACAGACCTGATAAAGCAAAGCAGAGAATAGGGGGGTGGGCAGAATGTGTTCCAAGGACTTTGCTTTTGGAGTCTTTGCTATCAAGGAACTCACTGTTTACTGACCAGTCTTGCAAAACCTCATTCCAGGTTGGAGAGTGCTGTACTTTGGCCAGGAAAGCTCCCCTTCAATCCCAAGCCCCGCCCTTCCAGGTGTAAAGGAACACCACACCCTGGAAACCATCTTGGAAGGCAAAGGCCGGTTCTCTATTCTGGTCTCATCACCTTCAGACGACAACCAGGGATAATGCGTTATCAAAGGCTTTCATGGCCGGAATCACTGGGTTGTTGCAGGTTTTTCGGGCTATATGGCCATGTGCCAGAAGCATTCTCTCCTGACGTTTCTCCTGCATCTACGGCAAGCATCCTCTGAAAAACCTACAAGCACCCAACCAGGGATAACTTTCTTCCATGCTCCTCCGGAAAGAATAAGCTGCCACAAGGTCTGCACCTTGGCACCCACTACACTAAACACTGGAACAGGCTGACAACTGTTTCCCATAAAAAGGCCTCCCAGACATTATTCAAGCAGGTCTCCAGCAAAAGAAAATGTTTAACGCACATGCCCCACTCATGTAATCTAAAAAGAGTGCAAACAGTTGCCCTCCCAACCCTGCTATACGCCTGTGAGACGTGGACTGTCTACAGACGTCCACATTGACACCGAAATACAACACCGCCTGAGCTCTGGAAGTGAAGCATTTTTCCAAATGAAGCAGAGAGTGTTTGAAGACCGGGACATCCATAGGGATACCAAGGGGCTTATTTATAAAGCTATTATCCTCCCAACCCTGCTATACGCCTGTGAGACGTGGACTGTCTATAGACGTCAACATTGACACCGAAATACAACACCGCCTCAGCTCTGCAAGTGAAGCATTTTTCCGAATGAAGCAGAGAGTGTTTGAGGACCGGGACATCCGTAGGGATACCAAGGCGCTTGTTTATAAAGCTATTGTCCTCCCAACCCTGCTATATGCCTGTGAAACGTGGACTGTCTACAGACGTCCACATTGACACCGAAATACAACACCGCCTGAGCTCTGGAAGTGAAGCACTTTTCCAAATGAAGCAGAGAGTGTTTGAGGACCGGGACATCCATAGGGATACCAAGGGGCTTATTTATAAAGCTATTATCCTCCCAACCCTGCTATACGCCTGTGAGACGTGGACTGTCTATAGACGTCAACATTGACACCGAAATACAACACCGCCTGAGCTCTGCGAGTGCAGCATTTTTCCGAATGAAGCAGAGAGTGTTTGAGGACCGGGACATCCGTAGGGTTACCATGGGGCTTGTTTATAAAGCTATTGTCCACCCAACCCTGCTATACGCCTGTGAAATGTGGACTGTCTACAGATCAACATTAACACTGAAATACAACACCACCTGAGCTCTGCGAGTGCAGCATTTTTCCGAATGAAGCAGAGAGTGTTTGAGGACCGGGTCACTTGTAGGGAGACCAAAGGGCTTGGTTATAAAGCTATTGTCCTCCTAACCCTGCTATATGCCTGCGAAACGTGGACTGCCTACAGACGTCAACATTGACACCGAAATACAACACTGCCTCAGCTCTGCAAGTGAAGCATTTTTCCAAATGAAGCAGAGAGTGTTTGAGGACCGGGACATCCGTAGGGATACCAAGGTGCTCCTTTATAAAGCTATTGTCCTCCCTACCCTGCTATATGCCTGCGAGATGTGGACTGTCTACAGACGTCACATGCAACTCCTGGAACAATTCCATCAGCGCTGCCTCCGGAAAATCCTGCAAATCTCTTGGGAAGACAAGCAGGACAAATGTCAGCGTGCTGGAAGAAGCAAAGACCACCAGCATTGAAGCGATGGTCCTCCGCCATCAACTCCGCTGAACCAGCCACGTTGTCCGGATGCTTGACCACCGTCTCCCAAAGCAGTTGCTCTCCTTCGAACTCAAGAATAGAAAATTGAATGTTGGAGGACAGGAAAAGAGATTTAAAGATGGGCTCAAAGCCAACCTCATTGACACTGAGAACTGGGAAGCCCTGGCCCTTGAGCGCTCCAGCTGGAGGTCAGCTGTGACCAGCAGTGCTGCAGAATGTGAAGAAGCACAAATGGAGGGTGAAAGAGCGAAACGTGCCAAGAGGAAGGCGCATCAAGCCAACTCCAACCAGGAGCGCCTTCCACCTGGAAACCGATGTCCTCACTGTGGGAGAAGATGCAGGTCAAGAAGAGGGCTCCACAGTCACCTACAGACCCACCAGAACACTGATCCTAGAAGACTATCCTATTCGGCCAACGAGGGATCGCCTAAGTAAGTAAGTGGCAAATATAGTCTCCTCTGGACACAATCCAAACAATGTAGTAGATCTGCAAGACTCCGTCTGATCCGTTAAAGCTCCAACTATATTCTTCCCATCTATCCCAGATTAGTATAACTGATTAAAGAGATTTGAAGAGGCGCTTAGACACGTAACAGATGGGCCACTACAGCAGTCATGGTGGGTAAACTTGGGCCCTCCAGGTGTTTTGGTCTTCAACTCCCGCAATTCCTAACAGCCTGGGGCTGGAGTGCATGGCCATTGGGGGTCCCTTTCCAACCCTCTGGTTCTATATGAATCTATAGCCTCACTTGCACATAACTACCTAAAAATTCCGAGGCTGGAGGGTCCGCTGTCATGAAATATCTCTGGTGAAAAGGGACCTTGCTGCATGGCTGAATGGCCATCTGTCGGGAGGGATTGGACGGTGCCTTCATTCATGGCAGAATGGGACTGGACTATATATATAATCATATCTATGGCTGGATGGCCATCTGTTGGGAGGGACTAAATGGGGTATTTCTACCTGGCAGAACGGGGTTGGGCTGGATGGCCTTTGGGGTCCCCTTCCAACTTTCGGGTTCTGTATGAATCAATAGCCACACTTTCACCTAAACCTAATGACTCTGAGGCTGGATGGCCCTCTGTCATGAAATATCTCTGGCAAAAAGGGCCCTTGCTGCCTGACTGGGTGGCCATCTGCCAGGGGGGATTTGATGGTACCTTCATTCATGGCAGAATGGGACTTAACTATATATATACTCATATCTATGGCTGGATGGCTGTAGATATGAGTAGATATCTGTTAGGAGGGATTGGATGGTGCCTTCATTCATATCAGAATGGGGCTGGACTATATATATAAAATCATGGATGGCCATCTGTTGGGAGGGATTGGATGGTGCCTTCATTCATGTCAGAATGGGGCTGGACTATATAATAATATCTATGGCTGGATGGCCATCTGTCGGGAGGGATTGGATGGTGCCTCCATTCATGTCAGAATGATATATATATATAATGATATCTCTGGCTGGATGGCCATCTGTTGGGAAAGATTGAATGGTGCCTTGGGGCTGGACTATATATATTATCATATCTATGGCTGGATGGCCATCTGTCAGGAAGGATTGGATGGTGTCTTCCTTCATAGCAGAATGGGGGTGGACATAAGCATATCTATGGCTGGATGGCCATCTGTGGGGAGGGATTGGATGGTGCCTCCATTCATGTTAGAATGATATATATATATATATATATATATATATATATATATGTAATGATATCTCTGGCTGGATGGCCATCTGTGAGGAGGGATTGGATGGTGCCTCCATTCATGTCAGAATGATATATATATATATAATGATATCTATGGCTGGATGGCCATCTATTGGGAGGGATTGAATGGTGCCTCCATTCATGACAGAATAAGATATATATATATATATATATATATATATATATATATATATATATAAAATATCATATCTATGGCTGGATGGCCATCTGTGGGGAGGGATTGAATGGTGCCTTCATTCATGTCAGAATGATTGATATATATATATTCATATCTATGGCTGGATGGCCATCTGTCAGGAGGGATTGGATGGTGCCTTCCTTCATGTCAGAATGATATACATAGATACACACACACACACACACACATATATAATGATATCTCTGGCTGGATGGCCATCTGTGGGGAGGGATTGAATGGTGCCTTGGGGCTGGACTATAGATATAATCCTATCTCTGGCTGGATGGCCATCTGTGGGGAAGGATTGGATGGTGCCTTGGGGCTGGACTATAGATATAATCCTATCTCTGGCTGGATGGCCATCTGTGGGGAGGGATTGAATGGTGCCTTCCCTCCCGGCCTTCCTTCCCGCTCCCTCCCCGGCCTCCCTTCTCCTCCTCCTCCTCCTCCTCACCGGCGGGGCGCCGTCCTCCTCCCTGGGCGAGCCCGTACTTGGCGGCGAAGGCGGCGAAGCGCGCCCACCTCCCGCTGGCCCTGACCGCAGCCGCCATCTTGGAGGTCGAGCACCGACTGGGAACGCCAGGGGGCCTGCCGCGCTTTACGGCCTCCCTTTCCTCCAATACGAGGCTGTCTACATTAGCGCCTGAGTGGAAATCCCAAAGTGGGTGCCTTTCCTCCCGTTTCTTCCCGCCGCTGCCGTGGCCGCACTCTCCTCCACCGCGAAACCTCCCTTCTCCTTCTTCGCCCAGGCTTCTTTCAGAAGAAAAGCATACCTTTCGAGGAGAAAAGGGTAATATTTGGATCAGGCACTCCGAGGGCAGCTATATTGTCGTGCCGCGAGCCTGAGAGGAAGGTGGGTCCTTGCTTCATCCAGGCTTCGGAGGGTCAGAAGGCGACGCGGAAGAGAGCGGGAAGCAGCGGGCACGGAGCGGTGAGGAAGGGCCGGGTGGGAAGCTCTATGTGGAAGTCAGGCTGTAGATTCATAGGATCCTAGAGTTGGAGGAGGCCCCAAAGGTCATCCAGTCGGGCCCCCTTCCTCCAGGCAGGAAGGCACCATCCAATCCCTCCCGACAGATGGCCAGCCACTCCTAGATATAGTATATATTATTGGGAAACAGGAATATGATAGGTATATCATAGAATCCTAGACTGGGAAGGGACCCCAAAGACCTTCCAGTCGAGCCCTTTATCCCATGAAGGAAGGCACCCCCTTCCTCCAGGCAGGAAGACACCATCAAAGCCCTCCCGACAGATGGCCAGCCACTCCTAGATATAGTCTATATTATTGGGAAACAGGAATATGATAGGTATATCATAGAATCCTAGACTGGGAAGGGACCCCAAAGACCTTCCAGTCCAGCCCTTTATCCCATGAAGGAAGGCACCACCAAAGCCCTCCCGACAGATGGCCAGCCAGTCCTGGATGTAGTATATATTGTTGGGAAACAGGTATATGATAGGTATATCGTAGAATCTTAGGCTTGGAAGGGATCCCAAAGACCATCCAGTCGAGCCCTTTATCCCATGAGGGAGGGCACCATCAAAGCCCTCCTGACAGATGGCCAGGCTGCCTCAGAGTCTTTAGTAACTTTATGTGGCAGTCAGGTTGTAGATTCATAAAATTCTAGAGTTGGAGGAGGCCCCAAAGGTCATCCAGTCGGGCCCCCTTCCTCCAGGCAGGAAGACACAATCCAACCTCTCCTGACAGATGGCCAGCCAGTCCTAGATATAGTATATATTATTGGGAAACAGGTATATATTATTGAGAAACAGATATATTATGTATATCATAGAATCCTAGTCTGGGAAGGGACCCCAAAGACCTTCCAGTCGAGCCCTTTATCCCATGAACGAAGGCACCACCAAAGCCCTCCCGACAGATGGCCAGCCAGTCCTAGATATAGTCTATATTGTTGGGAAACAGGTATATTGAAAGGTATATCATAGAATCCTAGACTGGGAAGGGACCCCAAAAGGCCATCCAGTCGAGTCCTTTGTCCCACGAAGGAAGGCACCATCAAAGCCCTCCCGACAGATGGCCAGCCTGCCTCAGAGTCTTTAGTAACTTTATGTGGCAGTCAGGTTGTAGATTCATAGAATCCTAGAGTTGGAGGAAACCCCAAAGGCCATCCAGTCAGGCCCTCTTCCGCCAGGCAGGAATACACCATTCAGTCCCTCCCGACAGATGGCCATCCACTCCTAGATATAGTATATATTATTGGGAAACAGGTATATGATAGGTATATCATAGAATCCTAGATTGGGAAGGGACCCCAAAGGCCATCCAGTCCAGCCCTTTGTCCCATGAAGGAAGGCACCATCCAATCCCTCCCGACAGATGGCCAGCCAGTCCTAGATATAGTATATATTATTGGGAAACAGGTATATGACAGGTATATCAAAGACTCCTAGACTGGGAAGGGACCCCAAAGACCTTCCAGTCGAGCCCTTTATCCTATGAAGGAAGGTACCACCAAAGCCCTCCTAACAGATGGCCAGCCTGCCTCAGAGTCATTAGCAGCTTTATGTGGCAACCAAGTTCTAGATTCATAGAATCCTAGAGTTGGGGGAGACCCTAAAGGCCATCAAGTCGGGCCCCCTTCCACCAGGCAGGAAGACACCCTCCAATCCCTCCCGACAAATGGCCAACCACTCCTAGATATAGTAGATATCTAGGAGTGGCAGTCTAGATATAGTATATATTATTGGGAAACAGGTATATGACAGGTATGTCATAGAATCTTAGATTGGGAAGGGACCCCAAAGACCTTCCAGTTGAGCCTTTTGTCCCATGAAGGAAGGCACCATCAAAGCCCTCCCGAAAGATGGACAGCCTGCCTCAGAGTCATTAGCAGCTTTATGTGGCAGCCAAGCTGCAGATTCATAGAATCCTAGAGTTGGAGGAGACCCCAAAAGTCATCCAGTCAGGACCCCCTTCCGCCAGGCAGGAATACACCATCCAATCCCTCCCGACAGATGGCTAGCCACTCCTAGATATAGTATATATTCTTGGGAAACAGGTATATGGTAGGTATATCATAGAAACTTAGATTTGGAGGGGACCCCAAAGATCATCCAGTCGAGCCCTTTGTCCCATGAAGGAAGGCACCATCAAAACCCTCCCGACAGATGGCCAGCCTGCCTCAGAGTCATTAGCAGCTTTATTTGGAAGTTAGGCAGTAGATTCATTAGCAGCTTTATGTGTCAACCAAGTTGTAGATTCATAGAATCCTAGAGTTGGAGGAAACCCCAAAGGCCATCCAGTCAGGCCCTCTTCCGCCAGGCAGGAAGACACCATCAAATCCCTCCCGACGGATGGCCATCCACTCCTAGATATAGTATATATTCTTGGGAAACAGGTATATGACAGGTATATCAAAGAATCCTAGACTGGGAAGGGACCCCAAAGGCCATCCAGTCCAGCCCTTTGTCCCATGAAGGAAGGCACCATTAAAGCCCTCCTGACAGATGGCCAGCCTGCCTCAGTCATTACCAGCTGGATTCATAGAATCCTAGAGTTGGGGGAGACCCCAAAGGCCATCCAGTCAGGCCCCCTTTCTCCAGGCAGGAAGACACCATCAAATCCCTCCCGACGGATGGCCATCCACTCCTAGATATAGTATATATTCTTGGGAAACAGGTATATGACAGGTATATCAAAGAATCCTAGACTGGGAAGGGACCCCAAAGGCCATCCAGTCCAGTCCTTTGTCCCACGAAGGAAGGCACCATCAAAGCCCTCCCGACAGATGGCCAGCCTGCCTCAGAGTCTTTAGTAACTTTATGTGGCAGTCAGGTTGTAGATTCATAGAATCCTAGAGTTGGAGGAAACCCCAAAGGCCATCCAGTCAGGCCCTCTTCCGCCAGGCAGGAATACACCATTCAGTCCCTCCCGACAGATGGCCATCCACTCCTAGATATAGTATATATTATTGGGAAACAGGTATATGATAGGTATATCATAGAATCCTAGATTGGGAAGGGACCCCAAAGGCCATCCAGTCCAGCCCTTTGTCCCATGAAGGAAGGCACCATCCAATCCCTCCCGACAGATGGCCAGCCAGTCCTAGATATAGTATATATTATTGGGAAACAGGTATATGACAGGTATATCAAAGACTCCTAGACTGGGAAGGGACCCCAAAGACCTTCCAGTCGAGCCCTTTATCCTATGAAGGAAGGTACCACCAAAGCCCTCCTAACAGATGGCCAGCCTGCCTCAGAGTCATTAGCAGCTTTATGTGGCAACCAAGTTCTAGATTCATAGAATCCTAGAGTTGGGGGAGACCCTAAAGGCCATCAAGTCGGGCCCCCTTCCACCAGGCAGGAAGACACCCTCCAATCCCTCCCGACAAATGGCCAACCACTCCTAGATATAGTAGATATCTAGGAGTGGCAGTCTAGATATAGTATATATTATTGGGAAACAGGTATATGACAGGTATGTCATAGAATCTTAGATTGGGAAGGGACCCCAAAGACCTTCCAGTTGAGCCTTTTGTCCCATGAAGGAAGGCACCATCAAAGCCCTCCCGAAAGATGGACAGCCTGCCTCAGAGTCATTAGCAGCTTTATGTGGCAGCCAAGCTGCAGATTCATAGAATCCTAGAGTTGGAGGAGACCCCAAAAGTCATCCAGTCAGGACCCCCTTCCGCCAGGCAGGAATACACCATCCAATCCCTCCCGACAGATGGCTAGCCACTCCTAGATATAGTATATATTCTTGGGAAACAGGTATATGGTAGGTATATCATAGAAACTTAGATTTGGAGGGGACCCCAAAGATCATCCAGTCGAGCCCTTTGTCCCATGAAGGAAGGCACCATCAAAACCCTCCCGACAGATGGCCAGCCTGCCTCAGAGTCATTAGCAGCTTTATTTGGAAGTCAGGCAGTAGATTCATTAGCAGCTTTATGTGTCAACCAAGTTGTAGATTCATAGAATCCTAGAGTTGGAGGAAACCCCAAAGGCCATCCAGTCAGGCCCTCTTCCGCCAGGCAGGAAGACACCATCAAATCCCTCCCGACGGATGGCCATCCACTCCTAGATATAGTATATATTCTTGGGAAACAGGTATATGACAGGTATATCAAAGAATCCTAGACTGGGAAGGGACCCCAAAGGCCATCCAGTCCAGCCCTTTGTCCCATGAAGGAAGGCACCATTAAAGCCCTCCTGACAGATGGCCAGCCTGCCTCAGTCATTACCAGCTTTATTTGGAAGTCAGGCAGTAGATTCATAGAATCCTAGAGTTGGGGGAGACCCCAAAGGTCATTCGTCGGGCCCTCTTCCGCCAGCCAGGAATACACCATCCAATCCCTCCCGACAAATGGCCAGCCAGTCCTAGATATAGTATATATTATTAGGAAACAGGTATATGATAGGTATATCATAGAAATCTTAGTCTGGGAAGGGACCCCAAAGACCTTCCAGTCCAGCCCTTTATCCCATGAAGGAAGGCACCACCAAAGCCCTCCCGACAGATGGCCAGCCAGCCTCAGAGTCATTAGCAGCTTTATGTGGTAGCCAAGCTGCAGATTCATAGAATCCTAGAGTTGGAGGAAACCCCAAAGGCCATCCAGTTGGGCCCTCTTCCGCCAGGCAGGAATACACCATCTAATCCCTCCCGACAGATGGCCAGCCAGTCCTAGATATAGTATATATTGTTGGGAAACAGGTATATTGATAGGTATATCATAGAATCCTAGACTGGGAAGGGACCCCAAAGACCTTCCAGTTGAGCCCTTTGTCCCATGAAGGAAGGCACCATCAAAGCCCTTCTGACAGATGGCCAGCCTGCCTCAGAGTCGTTACCAGCTTTATGTGGAAGTCAAGCAGTAGATTCATAGAATCCTAGAGTTGCCATAAAGGAAGACACAATCAAAGCTCTCCTGACATATGGTCATCCAGCCATAGATATGAAATAAATAACTACATGTTTTAATGTTTTTTTCTATATGTTTTTATATTGTTATGGTAACTTTTAAATTGCACTTTTATGAATGCACGGCATTGAGTCGTGCCAATCTGTAACCCACCTTGAGTCACCTTATGGCTAAGAAAGGCAGGCTATAAATGCCGTAAATAAATTATATATGTATATATACACACACACACATACATATACACATGCTAGCCTTCCCCTGCCACGCATTGCCAGAGCTCCCTGTCGACCGTCACCACCCCCAGCTCCTTCAAGGTCAATCCAGTCACTTCAAGGATTGTTGTGGCTCAGTTTGAGCCTGAGCTTTCTGAGCCTGAGTTTCCTCAGGACGAGGAGGATGATGGGTTACAGATTTCTGAACATGTTGTGGCAGACAGTGTTGATTCTGAAGAAGAGACGGCGTTTCTGTTTACCAGAGAAAGGAATGCTGTTTTAGATGAAGGTCATGATTGAAGTGAAACTTCACGGCTGCAAGTGGAGGAGTCGGACGCTCCTTCTGGGAGCTCCGTGCCTCTCGGTTCCCAGGGTGACCAGTCCCAGGATAATGAGTTATTCGGCCTTGAAGGTGATGGGGATTTAGTTAGGGAGGACCGTTTGCCAAAGTGCTCAGCTTGCCAACAAATGCGAAGTTCGAGGTCAACGTAATGCTTTCGTGCTAGGGAAACATAGTTAACGATCTGATTGAAGTCTGTCCGTTGTCAGTGCAATATTGCTTACACCCTGTTAACTTCTCTGGAATTGCCTCGGCTTTTGGGGAAGGCTTTTGGCTCTTTGGGATTTTGGTTTTGATATTGGTTTTTGGGGACTTTGTCATGCTGCCATGGATTCTTGTTTGACCCATGCTAATGAATTATACTTCATGTTATTTGCCTTTGGACCTTGGAAACTTTGCCTTTGCATTTAAGACTCTGTTTTGGCTATTGAACTTTTGCAACTTTATTTCTATGTTTTTGATTTTGCTTTTTCTTCAAAAAACTACAAAACCTACAGCCTTGGTGTGTGGTGGTGTCTTGAGCAAGATGAATCTATCCTGAGCTGCGACAAGGATGCCATCCCTCCACCTTGCCCTTGGTCGGCCCCTCTTCCTTTTTCCTTCCATTTTCCCCAGCATCATTGTCTTCTCTAAGCTTTCCTGTCTTCATATATCATATCATAGAATATCGTAGAATCCTAAAATTGGGCCCTCCAGCTGGTAGACTGTTGGGAATTGTGGGAGTTTAAGTCCAAAACACTTGAGTCCAAAGGACTCAAGTTGGCCCAGGCCTGTTCTAGAGGCCAGGCTCATCAAAGGACAGGCAGTCAACACACATTTTGGAAAGCTCTGGCCCAAAATATATACCGTATATACTCAAGTATAAGACGACCCGAATATAAGCTGAGGCACCTAATTTTACCACAAAAAAAATTGGGGAAATGGATTGACTCGAATATAAGCCGAGTGTGGGAAATGCAGCAGCTACTGGTAAATTTCAAAATAAAAATAGATAACAATAAAATTACATTAATTGAGTTGGTTAAATGTTTTTGAATATTTACATAAAACTGTAATTCAACATGAGACTGACCAACTCAGATTCAACCATTATTCTAACCTTCTTCAATGTAAATATGCTTACGTATCCTTCCAATAATAATAATAGAGTAAAATAATAATAGTAATAATAATAGAGTAAAATAATAAATGTAATAATAACAATAATAAATAGAGTAAAATAATAAATGTAATAACAACAATAATAAAGTAAAACAACAACAATAATAATAATAACAACAACAAAGTAAAATAATAAATAACCTTGACTCGAGACTAAAAAAAGGACTGAAAAACTATGTTTATACTCGAGTATATACAGTACATTAAAAGAGAACCAAAGCCTTGTT